GAGATGGGGGGGAAGGAGACCGAGGGAGAGATGGGGGGAGAAAACTGAGTGTGGGATGGGAGAAAAAAAATGAGGGAGGAATGGGGGGAAAGAAAACAGGGGGGGGAGAGGGGGGATGACATACACACAGCACCCCTGCCCTACACATATCACCCCACAAAAAGACACACACACATCACCCCACACACACAAACACCCCACCCACACACATCACTCCACCCACAAACACATACACTGTACCCCTCAATGCAGTGTGTGTACACTCAGCAGTCTGTCTGTGTGTGTACACTCAGCAGTCTGTCTGTGTGTGTACACTCAGCAGTCTGTCTGTGTGTGTGTGTATTTAGCAGTCTGTCTGTGTGTGTGTGTGTATTTAGCAGTCTGTGTGTGTATTCAGCAGACTGTGTACTCAGCAGTCTGCTAAATACAGACAGACTACTAAGTACACAGACAGACTGCTAAATACACATACCGACAGACTGCCGAGCACACACACAAACTGCTTAATACACACACAGAGATGTTAATTAGTTCGGACAACTGTATGAGTTGTTTTTTCTAAACTTAAACCTCAGTATTCAGGTTTAAATGCCGTTTTGGCACTTTGAGGGGAAAAAATTGGCATGTATTACGGTTTGGGCACTCGGGCTCAAAAAGGTTCGCCATCACTGCACTAGAGGCTGGATTAACCCGAATGTAAACATAGCAGTTTCTCTGATTCTTTGGAAAGTATGCCATAACCACAGTCAGAGACCTCCCAATGCAGAGGCACAGGGATCCGCAAAACGGCAAGCCTCTGAACGATGAATACAGAGTCTCTCTTTCCAGCTCTGCAAACTCATCCTTCAATATAACTACAGCTCCTTATACACACAAGGCAACCTCTATTTTTTCACTATCGGTGTTAGTGGGGGCCTCATGTTAGAGTTTTGCCTAAGGGCTTAAAAAGTAGCATATATATATATATATATATATATATATATATATATATATATATATATATATATATATATATATATATATATAAAGAAATACAGAGCAGTGTTTTATGATAATATATTTATATATATATATATATATATATATATATATATAATCATAAAACACTGCTCTGTATTTCTTTTTGATCTGCTGAGACACTATACTCGGGCACAATTCTACTCTGTGGATGGAGCTTTGCATTAGTGTCAAGACTGGCTTTACAGAAATCGAGGAAATTCCCCATAGCTTGTGGCACTATAATCACTTGCATTCTGAAGAGGAAATGGAACTTGGAGTGTCCCTTTAAAACATTTAAAAAGCCTGATCTCATTTGTAATATCTTTCAGGGAATGGCATGTGCTATTTCTATTTCTATCCAGAGCCGTCACATTCAACAGCTGTTGGAGCCGTCAACCCAAAAATTCTGAAAGGTTATAAAGAAGTCACCTCCTGGCTTCAGGTGTCCCTCTGGTAAAGCCCCATCACATGATTGCTGAATCACATGACCGAATAAGAAAGTATTCTCTCCTCCCACGCACCTCTTGCGAAGCCCGAAAAGATCAGGAAGCGGCTTGCTCGAACTCCGCCGATTCAGATTTCATTGGCTAATGTTGTCAATCGTAAGATGCTGATTGTTCAAGTTTAGTGTCAGTCAGGCAACGGCAAACACTCCCACCTCTTTCTTCCTCCTTTCATTTCACCTTTTAATGCTACAGACTCCAGTAACTTTAAACCGGCAGTAATATTATTGAATTTGACGGGCCAGGACCGCAGTGCATAGTTGTGTGCATTGTAAAAACGATGTGGCGATTGATGTAGCCTGAAAGAAAACTTTGGATTCTATGAAGCTTTTGAAGACGAATTGAAAATAATCGATCAAACAAGAATCTGCTGATATTCCATTTTGGAAGGAAGCTGTCAGGTTATATAATAAAGGCAGCTGCAGTAGTGACAGGAACAGGCTGAAAAAGCTATTTTTTTTTTATCACATCTCTTGGTTTAGTAATAGTTTACTATACATATTTGTGATTTTATTAAATAGATGCAGATTTGCATTTTGCTTTATGCATCTTATGTGCTAACATTTTCAGAAGAATGGGGTGGGGAATGGTGGTTTAACTTTATTGCGTTAATAATAATGGTTAGAAGGGTTTATTGAGAAAAGCCACTGAAAAGAGATACTATCAGAATATCCAGACGGCTCATAAAATCATTTAGAACGTGATGCAATCGCGATTTTATTTGTAAAAAATTGAATCACAGAGCTATACAAAAAACGAGTTAAATGTTTTCGTAGAAATTTGTATAAGAATGTGGTAACTGGCAACTTTTGCTATTCTAAGTCTACTATATATTCAATATAGCAATTTTATGAAGCTGTTGAACAACAACTGCTAGGAGCAGTACTGACACTAAGGAAACATAACAGGGTATTTATCTTATAGAAGATATAGAAAAACTTGAAGTGTTGCCCTTAAGGTAAACTCTGTGTTTTAAGTATGTCCTGTAAAGGGGTGATGTGCTGACATTGTTGCTGCTGCAGAGTTGTTAGTGTGCACAAACTATGGATACCAGTGCAGAGGAGATTTTTGGGGATGAATTGGGTAGCACCAGTACCCTTGCGGTCTGTGATGAAATGGTCACAGCAATGGCTGAAAGTATCTATTCAGAATTGGAAAAACTGATAGACTCCTATGGGCACAGCGCTGTTACAGGCCTGATGCCTTTATTGGTATCCGTACTAGAAAGCCTAGAGACCACATGTGCTCAAGCAAAAGAGAGTGAAGAACAACTGGAGCTGGTACATGAAGATAAACAAAGACTTTTCATCCAGTATGAAAGGGAGCGTGATGCTCGGAAACGTGCAGAGGAGGTATTAAAATGTCTAATGTAGATGTCTATGTTCATATTATAATGAATGATTATATTTTACTTGTAAAAGTTTAATCCTATGGTCAATGTTTTTCTGAGATTATGTGTTTGTGATTTAGACTATATTGATGCTTTTGCTTTTTGCAATTTTGACCATAATTTAACTTATTTAAATTATATTTATGTGCATCCATACATACAGCAGACATCCCAACATACAACAGCCCGTTTCAGGGCAGTGGCTGCACCTCCCCACCACCGACGCGGGCCCCTTGCACACACGTTGACAGATACATGCTGACACACAGATGCCCACACTGGCACTTACAAAGATACACACACTGGAATATAAAGACAACTTGACACACAGATACATGCAATGGCACATACACACACAGATACACACTGGAATATAAAGACAACTTGACACACAGATACATGCAATGGCACATACACACACAGATACACACACACACACTGGAATATAAAGACAACTTGACACACAGATACACACACACACACACACTGGAATATAAAGACAACTTGACACACAGATACACACACACACACACACACTGGAATATAAAGACAACTTGACACACAGATACACGCAATGGCACATACACACACAGACACACACACACACACTGGAATATAAAGACAACTTGACACACAGATACACGCAATGGCACATACACACACAGATACACACACACACACACACTGGAATATAAAGACAACTTGACACACAGATACACGCAATGGCACATACACACACAGATACACACACACACACACTGGAATATAAAGACAACTTGACACACAGATACACGCAATGGCACATACACACACACACACACACTGGAATATAAAGACAA